GGCCGCAGGCAGTGAAACGAGATCACCACGCAACTCAGAACCCTCAGGCTTTGCACGTAACGGGGGGGGAACCAACCCAGGCAGGAGGGGGCTGCCAATCAAGGACAATGGACCCTGGCCGAACCTGCCATCATGGACAATTAAGGGGGATTATTGGGGGGCCGATAAGCCGCAGCAGTAACGTGATCGCAGGGCGAAAAGCACGGGAAGGGGGGAGTATAAACGAGTGATGCAAATGTACCAAGCAAGTCCTGGCTTTGCTTGTAACCACATGAGTAAACCTTGTACGCATGAGTAAACCTCTTTTGTGAACCACACGTGTCACGGGAGTTTCTCTGTCGAACGGGGCAAACCTTACAGTTGGAACACTATGTTAATAATCTCCTGGAATACCCAAAAGCTAGGGTCCTGTTAAGGGGAGATTTCAATGCCAGATTGGGGTCGGATGACTATACATTATATACTAAATGTCATCAATACCCCCCCCGGACTCTAACTTACCCAACACCTCCCTCACACGACTCTCTAAAGATAAAAGAGCAAACTATGCTGGTTTCTGCCTTGCCAAGATGGCAAATAGGCTTAACCTTTTTATATCCAATGGATCGTTGACAGGAGACTATCCTGGTGAAATTACATTCATGGCAGAGGTTAAAACCAGCACCACTGATTATATTCTAACCTCTGTGGATCTAATACAGTATATAAAACATTTTGAAGTTGTACAGCTTCTAGAAAGTGATCATCTATCACTCTGCATACATTTGAAGCTTGTTACTAGGCAGATGCTCCCCGAGGACTGCTTCCCTCCTGCCATTTCTCCAGCAGGTCAAACAAGATGCCAGGTAGCATGGACCCAGCAACTTGAACAGAAGGTAAGGAAAGCATTAGCAGAGGACTGTCAGATTCAGCTGGCATGGCAGGGCACGGCCAACGCCACTGTTCAGTTTCACCGCCCCTAGTCAATTTCACCGCCTCAGGCACAGGCAGCAGAAAAGAGGAAGTAGGGCAAACCGCAAGTCAATTGCTGGCAGGTGGCAGCAATTCAGGACTCAGGGCAGGAGTGGATACTTTTTAACAAAGCTGGCTTTCCCTCGAATGCTCGGCTCGGAAGCGTAGCAATCAGCGAGCAATTAAGAAGGCCCGGCTTAGCCTGCAGAAGAAAAGCCCAACGAACTCAACAACCCCACAAACAAAGGACAGTAATCAGGGAGACAAAGAAACACGGCTGAATCTGCCATTTAGGCGAGGGGGAGAATACCATGGGCAAACCAGTAACCCAGGCAACAGGGAGAAGGGCGGGAAAAGGGGTAACTCCGGGTCAAGGAGGGAACCCTATAAAACCGCTGTATGTAACCACGCCAAGCCAACCCTGGCTTTGTTTGTAACCACCTGCATTACACCTGAGTAAACTACTTTGACCGAACCTGTGCTTCGTGAGAGTTTCATTTGGCGCTGAATGTGGCAACTCTTACAAGGATAACTTTCAAACAATTTGATTGGCTTTTATACCAGCCAACTCCTCTCAAAATATACTAAAATTATACAAAAGTCTAGTACAAAAGGTTCAACCACTACTGGCATGTGACCCAGATTTCTCAGTTAAAAGGCCCTCCTTCGCTTTGAAGTCATGGTTTGATAAGGACTGTGTGGAAGCAAAGAAAGCCCTCATCTTAGTATATAAGATGTATAGAACCGAGACCGAAGATAATAATACAAAGACTCTTAAACACCTGCTTATACTCAAAAAACAATATAAGCAATTAGTGGCATTTAAGAAAAAACAAGACGCAAGATCCACTTGGGAACAGCTTATTGAGGCAGCAAAGAAAAAGAACTCATCCCTATTTTGGTGTTTAATAGCTTGCCAATCTGCTAGAACCCATACCCCACTTAGATTCGCATATCTCATCTGCAGTTGATGAAGGACTTACCCGAGTGGCTCCCTGTATCAGTGCTTGAAATTAAATCCCTTATTGATCCACTTAGGATGGGGAAGGCCCCGGGAGCCGATTTTATTCTTGCAGAACTGCTGAAAAATAATGAGTGGTGGATCCCAGTCCTGGTGTCGTTATTTACCTATACTGACAGTACGGGATACATCCCAGATGACTGGGGTTGGGCGATTGTTGTTCCTATCTTCAAG